GAGCAGGTAAGGAACACTTCAATGAGAAGTCTTTCCCTCTGTAGGATACAAGTCCCATAAAAAGGGCTGTTTGTTAGTGCTCAAATTTTCCTAAAAGCTGTTTTTGTTTAATACAAGAAATGTCCCTGCTCTGAAATAAGGATATGTGACTGCCGTTGGAGTCAGGCTCAAAAATTCTTCCCATGTAACTTGAAAACCTATTTTTTCAAAAAAATACTGATTAAATACCAAAAAAATCCCCCGCAAATTTGACATCTACAAAGTAAGGTCATCTTGGAATGCTGTTTAAGCGTGGCATGGAAACATTGTTTTAAGATTGTGTCACACGTAGCTTGTGCCGCCTGCAGCTGTCTGAAATCGTGACAGCTCACCCTGAGCCCTTACTGGGCGTCGCTAGCTCCTGGTGGCTTACAGGCGAAATGGGAGAAATCTGGGTGCAGATCGCCTGCTTTTGCTTTCCAGCCCACCTCCCAGAATTTCGCAGCGATGAACTTCTAGTCCTCTTCCATTATCTCCTCGCCCACCCGTGCTGTCGTTGTGCAAGGACATACCTGAGGAGTCACGTGGAAAACAAAAAGCTGTCCATCGTAGCTGAGGAGAGCTTGCGCTTCATAGGAATAGGATGAATGAGGCAGTTCTGCGAAAGGGAGCCCTGGCACGCGACTGCAGGTGTCCCTTTCTGACCAAAATACGTTTTACCGAGGGCTCAGTCCAAACGCTGACTCTGCTGTGGTCGAGCTGTCCCGTCCTGTGTTAACTGAGACTCTCGCATGGTTTGAATTTTACACAGCTGCCCGAGGTCAAGATCTGGCTCCTTGTACAACCTGTGGAAGACATTTTGCACATGATGTTCTGGTAAAACAAACCTTTTTTTTTTTCTTTTTTTCTTTTTTTTTTTAATGGAAATGTCAATGCGTCTAGCTGAAAAGAGTGGTGGGCACTGGGGAAGTAGGAGATGGGTGCTGGTAGAGAAATGGGTTGAACACATGTTTAAAAGAGAAAATGATCTAATAATTGCTTTCATTAGTGAACTTGATTAGAGAATTAATGAAAATGCATAGAAATAGTGTGAATTATTCTGCAGTCTTGCACTGTCTTAACCTACCTGCTTGTCCAAAACCAGATGTTTACTATATAGTGTGTTTAAAATAATGTATTATCTCTTGGTGAGACATAAATTACTAACCTGAAGCTTCCTTTGTGTTCCAGGTTTCTAGGCAGAATTTGTTATTTCAGGCTTCCTGGGAAAAATAGACTAATAAACCATCTGATAAGTAGTCCCTTTGACAGCATAATGCGGGCACCAGGCTCTTTTCCAAAGCCTGCTGAAGTGAATGAAAAGACTCCCCCGACCTCCCTGATCCCTGGATTACAAACTAAATGGGTGGCTGCACAGTTTGCCTGGCACAACCCAACTTCAGGGGTTTTCTGCGAGGCGGGGGGCTCTGCACGCACCCCTCCCCTCCTCAGTTTGCGTTACTGATCCTGTGGCTCTGTGGTGGATCAGATAAGCCCTGCAATAGAACTAAAACCTGATTTAGCCAAAAAAAAAAAAAAAAAAAATTAGACAAGAAAAATATACTGGAAGCTGAATGGCTATGAGCACTGCGACCAAAGTGGAACTACCCTGTGTTAGTAGTTCCATGTTTGGTTTCTCAGATCAGACACATGAAGAACATGATGGTTTGATTTAGCAAAATTGTTTGAAAAGACAGCTACCTATGTCTTGAGGGAGGCGAGAAGTTTCTTGTCACTATGACTAGTGTGAGATACAAGCCCTGCGATGCTTCTCTGTGCCCTGATGATGCAGGACTGGTATGGTCCTCGGTGAGCAAGACACAGGTATCTGCTGCCCTCTTGGTCCTGCAGAGGAATCTTCCTCTTGCATTTGCTGTCAAAAATGCCTAGAAACGGAACACAAGGACCTGAAGCACATGAGTAGAAAGGTTCAATGGGAAACGAGAATTTAGAAACATGCGTTGTAGTAGAATGAGGTGCTTTTTGGCCCAGCTGAGCTGTAACTAGAATGCCTTGCTCAGGCAGCTGCTTAACTCCTACAGGAAGAGAATGGATGGCATAGAGGGATTAATGAGAAAATCAAGAATAACTGAGAACTGGAAAGAAGGAGTAAGCAAAGGAATACAGGAATGGGATCTTTAATTTACCAGCTGTGGATGGGCTCAAATAGGCATGAGCTACAGTACAAGAGAGAGGACACAGTTTGGTCCTTGCTTTCACAGTGTTCCTCACAAAGGCATCCTGTTGCAGAAGACTGAGGTGGTTGCTAAGATCTGAGACACTTGTGAACCTTAAAACCTCCTTTGTTGTGAGACGTGGCTCTTCCACATATTCAGCACTGGATCTCTATCTGCCTAAAATTTCCCTGTGCTTTCAGCTGCAGGTGTTATCCCTAGTTTTCCTTCTGAGTTGTCAGGTTATGCGTGCTGGTAAGCAGCTGTTCCCTTTCAGCCTGGGGCTGTTGCTGTTTCAGTGGTGTTAATGGGATGGACAGCACTGCTGTTTGTCAGGGGAGCCCCTGGTCTGGAACACTTATCTAAACTCGAAGAACTAATAATGTAAGTATCGGCCCCTTGAACAAGATTGGTCTGTTCTCCCTCTTAAACAAGAAGGAAAGAAAACCAAGTGTGGTGGTAGCAGTGGAGTCCAACAGGACTGTTCCTGTTCGTAGACCCGCCTGTTCTTCTCTGCAAGTCATTATTTGTGCTGGCCTCGAGCATGTCCCTCAGCAGAACAAACTGGAAATGGCTTCTATTTCTTACTTGTGTTGAACTGCAGCTGTATTTGGACAGGTTTCTAAAGTTTTGCTGAACTCCTTCAGGAGTTAAACTGAACCTGAAATAAATACTGCTTCAGCTCATTGCTCCTGAACAGAAGTAATTTGAAAGCCTAAGTAAGGAAGCATCATTAACAAAGCACGTCTTCAACCCATAAACATCTATTTTTTCTTCACATCCCAGCTGAGACATGATCCAATATGCAAGAAAGTGTTCAACAAGAAGCGCAAGCCCTTCAGCTCTTTGAAACAGAGACTGCAGGGAACAGAAATCACCACTGTAAAGAAGCAGCCCCCCCAAAAGGTATAGTTAAAATCGAAGTGTGTGTGTGTTATCTCCACGTGAAGTCTTTCATTCAGTAATGCTATTGTTCCTCCAAGGACAAAGCCTGGATGTTGTGGATGAGTCTCACATATGTGTTTGACTTGGTGCCAAACGCTTTCCTCCCCCTCCCTGTGCTGCTAGTGTTTCAGACTATTTTTCTGTTCAGAAGCCAAACCAGTAGGTGTCATGGCTACACTGGGGACCTAAGTGTCTCTGCTCTTCTAGGAAATGTGTTTTAAAGACTATGCAAGTCTCTGACAGCTTTGTCTTCACTTAAATCTGAAAGAGAGCATGATCCAAGATGGTGCATGAATGCTCCAGGTTGAACCTGAGAGCTCTCAGTAGCCCCAAATCTTCCACAAAGGAAGCTACAGAGATTCATTGCTATTGAACTCCAGGGTTTAAAAATGTATTTAAATTTAACTCATTTACAGAGCTGGAGGGAATGAAGATTTATGCTCTTACTGGAACAAGTTGTTTTTCATGCATTGCTGAGGAGGAAGGCAATACACATGGACATGCATGTGCATAATTTTTTTCCAGCGATGCCAAATCACTGCTGGTTTGGTATCCATGCAGACTGCCATTGCAAAATGTCCCTTAAAATCAGCTGTGGAAAGAAACAGAAGTGAGAAAGGTTTAAAGCAAGAAGAATCTGACAAATGGAGGAGAAGGGAAGGCGTTGGTCACAGTGTCTTTTTTATTCCCTCTTAAGCACCCTTTGGTTTGCCATGACCAGAGTGTTTTGTTGGAGTGCATTGTTCTTTTATCCATCTTCTGGTGCTGTCAATAGACAGAACAGGGCTAAATCGGCTTTCCTATGCCTTTCAAAAAAAGCAAATTTCTTTTGTTTGTAACATTTTTCCTTTCGCTCAGAAAGGAAGAATGCTCACTCAAGATTTTTTTCTGTCCCTTGCAAGGGGGAAATATTGTTTGTGTTTTCCTTTATTTCTATTACAGAAACAGCCAGGGAAGAAATCTAACTGGAGGCAGCACCATGAGGATTTTATTAATACTATTCAATCAGCCAGGCAGGTCTCAAAAGCTCTGAAGGAGGGCCGCCCTCTTCCGCTTCCTTCCCCACCAAGCATCAATCCAGGTCTGTGGTCTACTTTATCTTATTACTGTTCTTGTACTGATCTTTGATAAAGCAGTGACCTCTTGTTATCCACAGCTGGGCTTTGGTTTCACACCTCCCAGCACAACACAATGTGAACATTAACTCCCTCCATACTCTCTGATTCTTAGCTGTATTCCTTGGCTTAAACTGAGTAGGACTGCAATGCAGAGGTGGTGAGGAGGAAGAGAAAACTAACTGTATCTTTTAAGTTTAAAGGCAGCAAGTTTGGGGTCTGGTATATTAGACAATGCTTTAGTAGGAGAGTCGGGATGCCTGTGTTCTAGCAGAGGCTGTACCACGGCATAACAGAGGGTGAAATACATCCCTTCACCATTCAAAACAGCTGTAGTGCACGTGGGCTTCCCCACTCCCATGTGGTAGCTTTTCCACTGTTCCCTTCCCCACTCAGCTGTGCAGGTAGGGGAAGTCATTTAGAAAAAGATCTGGTTTACTAATACCAGGTGTGGTTTCTGGACAGAGCTCACTGTGTTAGAAGTTACGGATCCAAAAAGATGCACATACAGCCAGCATTTCTCACGACATGTGATTTATGAAACATGGGAGCAATCTTGGAAAGGGTCTTAGTGGAGTCCTGCCTGCATTAGAAAGGCAGAGGGTGGGAGGGGGAAGGGGGGGTGCTCTCTGGGCTGACTTCCAAAGCAGGAATTCGTGACTGATAGCAAAACCAGCTGCTGTGATTCCAGCCTTTCTCCTCTTCTAGATGACAGCGATGCAGTATAAGCAGCAGGACACATCTTCCTTCCTTGATTGGGGTCAAACTCCTCTCCGAATTTCCACTGCTGAATTCTTTAATGACTGTTATTTCTTGTCTGACTCTACCTACTCTAAGAGCAGACCCCTCCCTTTCCTTCTCCCTCTTGGAGGAAACGGAGTGGTAGTTGTGGAGAACGGAACAGAACAGCTTTTTAGGAAAGACAAATTGCTGAGGGGTCTAGTGAGGATGTATATCCTGTACTACAGGACTGTATATCCTATACTACAGAACTGGAGAGAAAGCACATGGATTGTGGGGAGGAGAGAGATATTCCTCTTCCCTCTCTTCCTCCCCCAAATACAGCCCAAAGCTCCCTGTTCTCCCCTGAAGTGCAGGTCCCCCTGCTAGCACCCCTCAAAGCCAGGCATCTGCCCTGTTCATCCTCCCCTCCCCTGCGTTCAGAACCATTTTGCCCACGCTGTTGGTCTGGAGCTGGCTTTTGGTGGCTACTTGGGGCACATTTTCTGGGCTGTTATGGAGAGAAATGATTTGTAAAGGTGCTGTATCTGTAACATTAGGACAGGGACACTTGGGCTGCCTTTGTAAAAGGCGCTGCTCAGGGAGGAGGGGTCTGAGAACAGCAAGGGCAGTGCGAGGGATGAAAGTGACTGCATTGACCCCGAACACTGACCATACATTGAAACAGGTAGGACTACACCAGCGATACACATCGCTGAATAGCTTTTAGCAGGATCAGGACTGTAACAACACTGTCAAAAACTACTCTAGGAAGCACTGCTGTGTGTTCTTCATAACGCTGCTTCACACCCAGAAACCTGGCTCTTGGATGGGCTTCAGCTGGCGGGGCACAACTTCTTCATCAGTGTTTTGCCAAATAGCAATGTTAATGATGAGTCTTCAAAAGAAGTCTTAAAATCATTGGTTTTAACTACTCGGGGAATTTTTAAATAATGCTTTTTTTCTGTAGACTTGTTAATTGTGAGGGTGGGAGTGGGAATAGGGCAAAGATAATAAAATCTGCTTTTATTAATCCACAGGGATTTACTTCTGAAAGCAATTACTGTTTGCTGGGTTAATACCATAAGCATGTGTTTTAGGATACCAAGTGCTTTTCTAGAGGAGGTTCTTGTAGTTCTAAGTTTGTACTTTGGGAGCTGATGAGAACTCACCATGGTCACCTGCTGATGGAGCCAGGTTTTGAACTGCATCTTGACCAGTGAAGCAGGGCAATTCTTCTCCTGTAGTGTATAAACTGTGACACAGGTTGTTCCTTTCATAGGGTCAGACTATATCCAGTGTCCACACTGCTCACGAAGATTTAATGAGGCTGCAGCACAGAGGCACATGAAGTTCTGTGAAGAACAAGCTGCCTGCTGTGCCACTGATGTAAAGACTACCGGACAGACTTCGGTAAGCACACACAGTCACACTTGTCTTGTCCTGGAGGCAGATTTGCCAAACTGTAGTTTATGGTGAGTAAAGACCTATATGAATACAAAATTTAAGATTTCAGGGGAGCTGGTAAACTCTTAAGACAAGATACATGCTGAATATCAGCTAGGAGTTCCCCAAAACCGGAGCCCTTTGTCTGATATAAAAAGTGACAGAATATGATAGTACAAAAAAGTTGGACAACAATTTCTTCAGATCCTTCTGTGACTGGATTCCAGGGTAACAGCTGTAGGGAAGGAGAAACCTGGCAGCTTTTTCAATGCATAGAGAAAGCTCTTCCTGTTCATTAGGGCTCCTTGCTGTTGGCAGGTTTGCTGTTCCCTGCAAATGTATAGCTGATTTATTCCCTGGTCACTAGACACAAGGCCAAAGGGCTAAGCCCCTTTGGGGAATCTGAAAAATGGAGCTAATTGGCAGTCTCATGAAGGGAGCTCCTATTTTATTGTGGAAAAAACAAACAAACAAAAACAAACAAAAAACCAACCAACCAACCAAAAAACAAACAAACAAAACAAACCAAAAAAACAGTTCCTTTAGGAAAGTACTGATTTTTCTTTCTTTCTTTCTTTTTTTTTTTTTTTTTTAAAAAAAAAAAAAAAAAAAAGATGTTTGAAAATCCTATTACTCTTTTACCTATTTTGGGCAGGAAAAATGGCTTCCAAGTGGGAGAGGGTGCACCTTATTCCTCTTCCTTCCTAGCACTACTTCAACAGCAATTTGGAGAGTTTTCACCAGGCTCTGTAAGCTCCTTGCTGGAGTTGAGTGTGGATTGTGCATCTTCTTTTACTAGGGCAAGCAACCAGTGACTCGGAAAAACCCCCCAACCTTAACACTTGCTGCGTTATTGTTTCAGAAGAGCGTACAAGAAGGTGCCAATACAGACGAACCCTGGCCAGGTAAGGAGCTAATTTAGCCATGTTTATGTTTTTCTTATGACAAACTCTGATGTATCTGCAGTGGGAGGTGCCATTTTGAAAGCAGATCCTAGGCTTTGGAATCCAGTTTTCTGACAGAATAATAAAGTTTGAAATTTTTTTAAGGTTTTGGGTTTTTTTTAACAAGTTCAGACCTTGACATAAAATCCTAAACTCGTTTCTGTGCAACACTTGTTAGAAATCAGAAGGGCGAAAAATTTCCAGGTGGATGTTGTTGATATTGAATGGCTTTCCAAGTCATCATCCTGATCTGTTGTGCCGAGTGTGTACACAGAGGTTTTCATGTGGGTCCTCAGGAGGGACTTCTTAGGCTTTTCAATTAGAGGTCCTCAAACAGAAGTGTCTATACAGATCTAAAATATGCAGTCTGAGTGTGAGTTTCCTTCTGTCCCGTAAAGGACTCCAGAACCTTTAATCCTTGATTTTAAGATTTATTCCATCATCTTTATCTTAAATCCATTTAGATGAAGCATCAAGGTTTGTATGTTGTTTGTTCCGTATGACTTTCCCCTTGTTGATTCAGCCCTAAAATTAACACCACCACAAGCCTAAAACAGTTCCCTCTAAGCAGGATACCATGTAATATGTTTCCTAGCACCCACTGCTACCAGTAATCATCACCTGTACTCAGTCTATGTTTAGAAGATGCTTTATAGAGTTATTTTAACGGTTATTTGTAGTATGACCTGAACATGATAATACATGCTGCTCTTTGTATCAATATCCTTGATCCCTGCATTTCTAGGTTGTATGTTGAATTTATGTAGGTTATTCTTTTCTATGGCAAATAATTTTTAAAAATAATGATCTGCAGAGACCTCTCCAGGAACACTGCAGAAAACTGGAAAATCTTTGTGTCCATCTACTGGAAAAAAGTCCTCAGGACAGTTTGGGTAAGAAATTTTTTTATTAGTAGTAGTATTTCAACATTATAACATAAAAGGACTTCATTTGCCTTTGTGTATATGCAATACCCTGTGTTTGAAGTATGAAATTCTTTGTATTAAATGAAGCAATCGATTGCACTGAAAACTTTTGCAGACCTCCTTGTGTCCCCAGCATAGATTGCTGAGAATAGTCATTTTGGTGTTAAATGTTCTTTGGTTTGGAGCAGCTCCATCTCAAGTAGGCAGTGACTGTGTTCTGCTGTAACAGGCATCTTGAGAGGATTTGCTGCTTGATAAAGCAAACCTCTCTGGCAGGTCTTGTGCTCTCATGATGTGCTTCCATTGTTCAAGTGAGGAAGATGCCAGCATCCATTTCAATAATCACTACGTCAGGTGTTGGACGTTCTTCCTTCTCCTCAGTGTTTGCTTTCCCAGATCATGTTTGATGCTTCTGGTCTTCAGACCACACAGTCAGGGTTGTTCCCATCTCGCGCCATGCAGAGCCAGGTCAGAGCAGCAAGGCAGCTTTCCAGCCCCTGCTTATGGTGGCTGTGGTGCAAGGGGATGGCTCAGATGATCGGTATCTTGTACCCCTGTGAGATGCACACGACTGCAGGATATGAGATCCTGGCAGGGAATGCGGCCAAGACGGATTTGCTGTAGCTGGCAAGGTATTTTGAGCCTGGGAAATGAGCTTGTATGGGTGCTTAGAATGTGGGATGAACCCTAATCTGCACAAAATAGTCTGTTGCAGAGATTAACATTCAAAGTCTTTGCAGGATCCTTCTGTGTGGAGTTTTGCTGACACTGAGTGCTGCTGGTCAGTGGCTAAGTACCTTCAACTGTGGGGAAGACTGCAATGGGCATGGGAGTTTTCAGTCCATGGTGCCATCATCTACCTACCTCCTTGACTTTCCCAGCTACAAGAAAAACTGTTGACAGTACCCACTGGTCTCATCCAGTGTTCTCCACTCCCCAGATTACCTGTGACTATGTTAACAGTGTAGTAACTCTGACAGTTTCATGCAGGGTATTGCAGGTCACCAAAAGGGATTTATTGATACCATCACCATTCTCAAGGTTAGCTACTGAGCCCTGAAACTTGGGGCTTGACAGGCTTGGGAAGGAGACACGTCTCTCCTTAGGGACACTGGCAAATCCAGGTATTGCCAGGGCTGTAGTTTCAGCCAGTTTACAGAGGCTTGGGACAGCAGGTGCCTCCAGCAGGTCCTCAGGACAGACATCCACAGTAGTGTCCAAAATACAGGCCAGTCTTGTACATCCCTGGGAACTGTGGAAGCCACTGGCCTGGCTGAGCTTGTAGGTGTTTGGCTGTTGGCAACTGCTGCTGCATTTTTGTAAAACTTAAGCTTTGCCAGGTGGTTTACAGAGCATTTTGGGCTAGTGACAGATCAGTGTCAGTGCTACCTAAGAGCGCGTTTACCTGAGCAAGCAGACATGATAAAACTGGCTTTGAGTGGTGCAAATAAATGTTCTCATCTCCAGGATGTGCTGCTGCATCACCCTCCCAAGGATCAAGTTTTAATCTTCTTAGACAAAACAGAGTAAAATATAAAAGCTGTTTCTATACAAATAACAAGTATGTGGTTTGTTGCTGCTTTCAGACCGCAAGTGCGCAAGAGAAAATAGAGTGGCCGGTCAGCAAGGATGTATTAAGGTTTTCTTCTGATGCATTATGGAAGACCTTAAGCAACACAGTTTTCCAGCACCTCTTCCACCTAAAGTGCTACAGCTACCGCATTCAATAAAACAAGCAGACTGAAGTTCACAGTCTTAATTATTTTTTTTTATTTTCCCCTCGTCTACAAAGATTATGCTGTCTTTTTTAAAGTAGTGAGATTATTTGTATCAGTTGCCAAAATTTAAATAATTGCTTATGAGGGGATAGACGTTACCAGTATTTCATTCAATGGTTTTAACAAAAAGTAGGAAGATCCAGTATTACATGATTATTTTTTTCCCCCCTACTGGTTTGCTTTGATATATTGAACAAGACGAACATTTTGGAATTTCATGTACATATTTAATAGAATCTTCCAGTAAACAATAAATGATGAATGATAGTGATCAATAAGTGATAAATGGCCATGTATGCTGTCTATCAGCTTCAAAGCACTTCAAGTTCAGACTAACTAAAACCAAACCTCATTCTCGCATTAAAAACTTCAATTGCTTTTAGAAATCGATTGATAAGACAGAAATGTCATGGAGGCATATCCCTATACCCCTTCTTATTGTTTGGCCATCTGATCTATTACCAGCCTTGGATCACCTTGCATAAACTTCCAATATTGCAGCATGTTGAGTGGGTTTTAGCTCAACAATTTCCAGTAAGGCTTTCAATTAAAATCCATAAGAATTTTTTTTTGCCTACTAAATGTTTATAAAGTAAATTAAGATGAAAAGTAGTTGGGCACAGCAATAATAAATACCAGACTGTACAGAGTTTACTTAAACTCTACTTAGGCTTTAGCTAATAGTGATTAGATAAATATAGAAAGGATGACACTGAAGCAAGTCTAACTCCTAGAGCTAGACCCTTAGGAACAGCAGCCATGAAATCAGCCCAAATATATTAAAGCAGTGCTGCTTAGCCTTTTTTTTTTTCAGTCCAGGAAGAAGGGGGGGGGGGGCGGACGCCCCCCATACTAAACTATCCTGTGCAATGTTATCACAGTTACTTTCTTTTAAGTGAATCCTCAGAAGTTAGAGCAAGTTTTACTGTATTTGTTGTTGTCTCCCCCGCCCCTGCCCCCTTTATTAAATCTGTCTGTGTGTAGAAGTGTTCAATTTCACAGCTCATGTTCCAGTAACTTATAGAAAATAAAATTATAGGGGCAGAAACAGTGTATTGAAGAACAGCACTTAAAAATTCTGCCAGCAGGAAATGAATCAATCATTAATACATGGAACATACCATCGTATTTCAGACTGGCTGTGAAAAACTCTCTGGAATTAAGAGCAACTCACTGGTTAAGAAAATGTAGAGTTCCAACAGAAACAGTTGGTAAATAAAACTGAAGGAAAAAGAAATTAACATAGTTTCTGATAGGGGATGGGAACTGAGCACTAGAAATACTCTCTACATAGAGGCTGCAGTCTTTTGTTCCATGTAGTATAATTTTAGCTCCTTAACATTACTTCAGCAGGTTTACATGTCTTCCTATTTTTTTTTTTTATAAAATAAGTACATTTTTTGTATGAGACCAAATGTTACTAAGTTTCACTATTTTTACAGTATCATTTGATTATTCTGTTGTTTAGCTGCCACATAGTGCTCTGCTTCTACAGATTTTCAAGCAGCATTCAGATAAAAGAGTGGGTTTATCTCCATTAGGATGAGGCAAAATAGTCTAAGACTTCCCAGAGGGTCAGATCTTTCTGTTCCATCTCTTAGCTGCTATGCCATGGTCTAGCCTACCTTCCCCATACTGGCTCTCTGCCCTTGCATCCTCCTCTCCCATTTGGAGGAGAAATGGGCTGTGCCAGAGAGGAAGGAGGACTGGCCACTGGCTGGGCTTTCACCTGTTTCCACCACACCCCCAGTGTGTGTGGGGCTGCCTCTCCCCACACCGGTGCTGTCACAGCCCTGTATGAGCCAAAGGTAGTGCCACCAGACAGATGTCCTGCAGCTCCTGCTACCTTCTCCACTGTCACTGCCTGAAGTCACCCCTGCCTGGCCGCTGCAGCCCCATCCTCTCAGACACCACAGGTAAGCTCAGGGAGAGCTGGTGAAGACTCACTCCTGTCTCCACACCTCTCCTTTAGCACCACCTTGCCTATGGTCTCACTCTCACCAAAAGCGAACTATTGCTTTTTCAGCAATGCGATACTCGGGCCCACGCCAGCCCAAAGAATTTGTTTGCCCAGAAACAAAGCATTCTTGAGCCTCAGCTACTGATGGCCTCTCAAAAATGCTCACAGAAGTCCCCCGAACAACAGCTATGAGGAAGTCCAGCCCTACCTTAAGTATTAGATGTCTCAGGGGTATTTCCTGAGTTGTGAGAATTTTGAAACCATTTTTCTGCAAACATAACCTTTTGAAATAACTTGCCATCCTTTGAGATGGGACATCATTAGCTTCCTCTACATTTATGATGTCAAGAATCTGAAAGAAGAAATTTGAATGGACTGAAGGGTTAAAGCTGCAGTATTACACATTTAAGGTTTGCTTCTCTGTTTTACTTGTAGACACCATCATTGTGTGCTTTTTAAGCATTTTAATATCAAAACTGGTTATTTTCTTTTTACTTGAATGAGACTTGGTCTTTAACCCGTAGTTACATATGATAAGCATCTCTCACCAATGCGTCCTTCCATGTTTCAGAAGAGGCTGAGGTCAGGCAGCAGCATCTCTCTTGACAGCTCAGAGATCAGGCACCCTGCTACAGCCCAGCAGCTGAAAGAATACGGGCACCCATCTAGCTCAGTGTTTGCATAACGTTTTCTTCTTAACATCACGTTTTAATTCAAAGACAAGTATTTCAGTAATTAAGTACACCTCTTATAGAAGCACAAACCAAAATGACAAAATGTCTATTAACAGTATATGATCAGGCAGTGCTACAAAATTTGTGGGTAGGTGGTTGTGTTTTTTTACAAGTACATAAGCTTTGATGAAGCCAAGTGAATACAACTCGCGTGAACAAGGAAAACAATGCAGTAAGTGAATGTCACCTACCGGGAGATGTGATTTTTGCAATTCCTGCTCATTCACGCATCAGGTGATAGGACTGTCACATCAACACATCACCAAATGGAAATGTACGTGGACAGTTTACCCCAGGAAACAAACAACAGTCCCCGTGGTTCTGGTTTGGAAGAAACAAAGGCTGGAAGTCCAACTGCAGCTGTCCCAATGCTGCAAAAACCCCCGTGATTAAAATGGCCTCGACTATTATCACACCCACTAATTTCAGGTGACACTTGTGAGGCAGGTTCATAACCCGGCTTTGAACAGGGCCCAGTGTCAGCTCACCACCCCAACCCTTCTGTACATGGCCCTGGCTCTGGCCCTGGCCCCACAGAGGTTCTGCTTGGTTGCAGGATCCCCTGGGCCAGGGCTGGCTTTCCGTGAAGGAATCCACATTTCAGATGGCTACAATTAATCATCATTTCCCTGACTAAACAAAGGCCATTTTTATCAAGAAAAGGTGAATAAAGGGCCCTTAGGTAGGAAGCATTATTTTTCATTGAGTGTTAAATGAATCAAGCTGTTGACCCAATGGGATAACACATGAGAGAGAGACCCAGCCCTAAATGAAAATTAACATTTTGCTCTAACCTTTGAGACAATTCACTTCCCATTCTGAAAAATCCATGTATACCAGAGTTCAGTTCTTACACAGTCCTGCAGAAGTGGTAGTTATTGCCAGCCCTAGGAAAAAATGCAGGAGATGCACACAGCTGAAGAGTGCCTCAGAAAACACAATCTAGTTAAACGTAATCGCAATAGTGATCTCCTTTATTTAAAAAAAAGTGGAACAAGGAGGTAAGATATACCCTTGGACTGATTTTCGTTTAAATTAAAGATTCATAAAGCTCAGTAATTAAGTGCTTAACAGAAATCTATGTGATGTTGATAGATCATTTGTTATGTTTGCCATGTGTATAAATTTGCTGTGATTTATGGTGCATTAAAATTATTTTTCTGTGATTTCCACCTCCTTCCCATTCACCCTAACTCTATTTCTCCTACTGCAGCAGTCATAGTTTTATTGTGCCTGTTATGATGCTTTGCTATCAATGAAGATACTTATTCAGTTGTTTGCGTGAAAGGTAAGAAACAAAAATATAGAGGGTGTTGAGGGAAATACGTTAGTTCTACTACTGTCGTATGCTAAAAAACTAATAGTAGTATGAAAAATAGAGTTTCTTGTTTATTAACAACTTGAATTTAACTACTATGTTCATAACGTGCTTTGAAAACATTTGGGGCAGTTTTTCTTAAAAACAAAACAAAACCGAACAAAAGCAAAACCACCCCATCCTAACAGATATAAGTAAGAAGGAGAGTCTTAAAAAAAAGAAGGAACAAACCCCAAACCACAGTGAGTTATTTGAAGGCATGGTGAAAATGAGGCAATGTTACAGAATTTGTAGTGGATGGAAAGGAGCGAGGAAGATGATGCAGCTGATTTATGGCCATCCCCCCAGTTGCTAGCTGAACACCTTGCTGTTGGCCGAGGCCATTCAGCCTGTGTGATGGTTCCTCTGGACCAAATGCCATTGTGATGTCCCCAGTAGTGTTCTGGTTGTCACCTGGTGGAAGCTGCCAGAAACTCATCACATGAGTGAGATCCATGAAAGGCAGGCTCGTAGTTTCAGCTGCTGCCTCTGTCTCCTTGTGCACTGGGTACTTGTTAGTATCCCCTGCAGGCCCTGAGGACGCTTCTTCCAGACTGATTTTGTGAAGAGATTGAGGTTCTGGTAACGGCAGGTCCTCAAGAAGATGCACATTGTAACCTTTAACATCTACTTTTATCGGGAGATTCTTGAGGGATCCTGCTGCAAATGAGGTAGAACTAAGGTCGTATTTATTAGGCTGATGAAGGTTCAGGTTGCCAGGAATGGCTGTTGAGCACGGTGTGGGATGGACAGCTGGAAGGCTGTCTGCACAGCCCATCCTTTGCAAATGAGGAGAAGGTTCAAGAGGAAGAGCAGTTTGTAAGCTTGGCTGGGAATGAAGATGTGAACAGTTGTATTCCTCTGATTCTGAATTATTTAAAATCCCATTCTGCACGGAGACCCTTTCAGGAAAAGGTGACAGTATGCTGGCATCTTCCTTCAGTCTGAATGGAAAAAGCTGGTCAAGGAGACCCACTGAGTCACCATTCTGCAACCTGCTCTTCAGCAGTTCTTGTGGATGAGTCTTCCTGGTATGGCGAGTCAAATGGTCCTTCCGCCCAAACCTCTGGGCACAAAACTGGCATAGAAAGTCTTTGCAGCCTGTGTGAACTACCATGTGACGCCGCACATCTTTACGGGTATAGAAGTGACGCTCACAGTGGTCACACTTATGTTTCTTTTCCTTTGTATTGCCAGTTGGTTTCCCTGCATGGCTTTTGAGGTGTTCCAACAAAACTTCAGTACCGCCAAACTCCTGCGCACATACCCTACAAGTAAGGTCCCCACTGGTGGCTGCATGAAGAGCCAAGTGTCTCTTATAGCCTAGCTTGGTGTTGTACTTCTTGCCACACTCTTCACACTTGAAGGCCATTTTGTTAGGGTCATGAGTCTGAAGGTGATTCTTTAGATGGTCTTTTCTGTGAAAGGTCTTTTCACAGTAGCCACACTGGTGAGACTTCTGTGGAGAATGAGTGGCCGAGTGCCTAAGACAAAAACAAACAAACAAACAAAAAGTTATTTGCATTTACTTTTACTCTAATACATTTACTCTTGCAGCTTCAAAACTTGAAAACACTGGCACTCTTGAAGGAAGATATTTTCATGTGTTCTCAGATTACTAGTAAAAGCCTAACTTTTTTTTTTTTTTGAGGGGGACGAAGGTTTTAATCATAAAGCATAGAGTAAGTTAAAACTGTTCAACATAATCTTTTTTGAGTAGCCACCACAATTGAGGGAGACTAGTTTTCTCCAATTCTACCAAAGCAGGAATAATAAAACATGGAATGTGGGGATTAACTGTCAGTAGAACACCACAAAGGAAAAAGATGTCCTTGGTTTTTTTCCCCACACACCCACCAGAAGAGGAGTGCCTTCAGAGCTGTACCTGAGCAGTTTATATTTGGAAATGAAGGCTTTTGTGCATCCTTGCTGTGAACACTTGTAGGGGCGCTCCCCTTTGTGTGCGTAAGTGTGGACTGTGAGCTTGTCAATGGAATCAAATATCTTCCCACAGAGTCGGCAAGGGTAACTGTCTGGCTGCTTCACTTCTCTTCCCTTCAACAGTGAAGAGCGGCCGTTTCTCCATTTAGGTATAAACCTCACAAGAGCATCACAAGTGCCTCCTGAGCTGGCACAGCTCAGCTTTGCAGCAGAGGAACAGGAAATGGTCCCAAAGCACTGAGCAATGCTTTTGCCTAATGCCGCTCCTCTCAGTTTCCCTTTGAGTTTGCTTTTTGCTTTTACGGGTCCCAATTTATTTGGTGGTCTGAACCTGGTGGTAAGGACTCGGTCTTTATGGATGCACTGGTGAGATTCCAGCAGAGCAAAAGTTGCAAAACTGCTTCTACAGCTGGAGCATATCCAAGGGTCTATGGGCTCTTTCTGCAATGAGAACAGAAATAGGTCTTTCTTATTAGCCATTCTAAGGAAAGGTCATAGTCTTCTCACTGACCCTACATCTCCTGGGCTTTCCCAAGACCTGTTACCCTTGGCAATATTTACTTTAATGTACTATCACACAGCTGTTCAACTGGAAATGGATTCTCTCTAGGAGTCCACAGCCTCAAAGGAAAAAAAATGGTTGGCTAAATACTGATTTCCATGTGTTTGTTTAGCATTTACTGTAACAGTCCTTAAGTCCTTCACCTTTGTTTATCTGTGCTTACTGAATTTCAAAGTCTCTACATTTTTTCATTTTATGGAATCACTCATAAAAGCTGTTGCAAATTGTACTCTGTCCTTAGAGTGACATAATTCACCTGCTATTGCAACCACACAAAAATTGGGTGGGTTTCTGCACACAAATGTAGTTTAGCCAGGATCTCCCTATGTTTTGGGCTGACTCCATGCTTTACTAGACAGCAGTGGTCAATGCTTCCAAGAGAGACTTCCTCACTTAGCTTGACATGTGGCATTAGACTTTCTTAAACTCTGTAAGAAACACTTTATTTTGCATTATTTGGAAGTATTATTTCTGCAGAAATAAGAGCTCTACTAGGTTCCGTTGAATTCGCTTTAAATATTGACTTTCTAAAAATTTCAATTAAAAACAATTACAAAAAAAAGCCAGTCACTGATAAAATGTACTTCCAATTAATACACAACCATGTACTTCCTTAGCTGTCTCTACATTTTATGCAAGCTTCTCTCAAACTGTCCTTACTTTTTCTTGCTCTTGGGCTAGCTTGCTCTGGAGAGCGTGGTGAGGATATGCCCACTCTGTATTTACAAATGGAGCCCTACTCTTTCTTATCTGTGTTCAATGCTGTGGCTCTCCCACACCTTCTTTCTGGGGTATACTCTGAAGGCCTCATACGCAAAAGCAACAACAGGGTTACTTCCCTTCCTGGAGCACCTCTGAATTCCTGGTTCATCTGTATTCCCTGTTTAACATTTCCTTCTAGCTTAGGTATCAATCTTCATGGCCCCGTTTTCAACACCTAACAAACTTTTCCTATCAGTTTAAGGATTCCTACTGCCATACAGAGGGGAAGGTACTGGGCTTAGAAGAGAATGTTTATTGCACAGGAAAGACCGAAATGATCAGTGCATTATCTGACTGGTCAGAGCATAACAAGGGGGAATTGGTGAAATAAGTCTGAGGCTGGACAGCTTGGTTATCTGCAAATTAATGCTGATCTTAAGTCTTTCCAACACATCCCACTAGTGCCACTTACTTCTAGCTACATCTAATGACTCCATTGGATTACAAACACAGGAGAGGAAGAGCAGCCTTTTGCTGAGTAGCTGTTTGGTTAAAATTGCCCTTGGCTTTGTGTTAGCCAACTACTCTATGGTCAGTGAAAGCACGTAAATAAACCGTAATTTACTGTCTGGTGTTGGCTTGAATACAGAATACTTAAGGGGTACTTACTGCTACTGGTGGCAAAGGACAGACATCGGATTCTTCTTTAATGAAGATTGCAGAAGCTTCCATAAATTTGGCATAATCGGCAGCATACCATACTTTCAATTCAGTGTGGGGTTCAATTGGCTGTGAATAGAAGAAAATAGCACAAGTTTGCTTGCGCCAATTTTCCTATACCAAATAATACTGAAGATTGGAGGGGCGAGGGCACGCAATTTGTTGTCCTTACCCAAGCTGCATTCTTTGAATCTGTTTAAATTATTGGTAACTTAGTTTCACTTACACTGTCTCACCTCCAACAATAAGAGAAAGCTATGGCAGCAGCCATGTGAAGCTCTCCTGTGATCAGACAGACAGCAACCATGGATGATTTTTTACTTCCTCATAATTCTGTATTTTTTTTAAAGCACTTATTTCTAGGGACTGCAGTCATTAGGTCAGTGAGTATGCTAACGGTGCTGTTAGTATGCCACTTACTTACATGTATGCTTTTGTAGGTGCAGTTTCACGTCACTGAAATCCCATCTCTGTAAAAACAGTGGGGAGAGGAGCCAATCCTTCTACTCCCAAATTAACAGCCTTTATTCAAAGTATCTTGAGAAAATATCTTCATAACCAGCCCTAAGGCAGCCTCACACTGTAACCAGCAGGGTGTGCCTAAGTGTAGCAAAAGGCTATCACTTCCACTGACCAGGACAAAACCTGCAGGATGCCACAGTACTGTGAATGACACTAGGGCTTAGGAGAAACAAATCCAAAGTAATTCCCTATGATACAAAGCACAGTAAAGGTTCCAAGACACGCTCCTCATCCTAAGATACCCTTCATGTCAGTACATAGGTTGCAACTCTCCATTAATGCCAATGAGCAGAGTTCTGTTGAAGTCAGCAGAGAGCTGGTTCAATAATATTTAAATTATACCAGAAATTTTAAGTTACCTCTTCATAACTATAACTTCTTAGAAGAGCTTCCCAAATACTGTATTATTAATCCTGTCAGTTCCACAAGTACAGCATGCATTTAAAATCAAATTGAAATCTCAAATGGTATGGACTCCATCAGAATGTCAAACACAGCTTAAACAATGTCTCAGATTAGCATACACTGTTTTACATTAAAAAAAGAAAATCAAAGTAATTATTTTAAGATTAATCCAAAAGCAACCATACTTCATACTGGTATAAAAGACTTTAGAAGGTGTAAAATGTTATCACTATTAACTTATTCTCACAGCATCACTGCGTGGCAAATACTTTTCTCACTGTGCAGGTGGAGAAACAAAAATGGAAGAACAAAAGTAAATACTACTATCCCACAGAAATGCATGCCAACCTAGGAAATGAAATTGGAATGCTGGATTTTAATCCCACAGTAACTTCATTTGACTAATATTCTCTTCTTTTTTGATAAGACAATGAGACAAGCATTAACTTAAGAATAAAGTAAAGTAAAACAATCAATGTTCAACATATAAACTTCAGTTTCCTAAGTGTACAAAAGAGTAAGTTCTGATTGAAACAAACTTTGTCTAAGGAAGTGGCCAAAACAATAAAATATAAGACTGTATGTTCCAGTGTCATTTATTAAATACTGAGTACTTTGTTCTCTCTCCTCAGAAAAAGACGCGGTCCAGAATCTCTAACATAAACTGATCATTTCATGGCAACACTGCAGTATTGCGAGTTCTGCAGTTAAGTCTTCAGACTTAATGTGTATGGAAAACAGTACATAAAGATTCTACCTAGCACCCTGTTCCTGAGTACCCGGTAATGTGCTCAGAATACAATGTGTGTCCAAAAATGTAATAAAGGAAAAGAATGTGTTTATTCTTTCCAGGATGAAGTACTGTTGAACGTAACCATGCCAGATAATCTCACCATGTACTATCTGGAACTGAAGAACTTCACAACATTCATGTTGAAACACTTCCATCATGAATGATATTCCTGTTACCCTCTGCTCAGCGTCTTCACCCCCACAACAGCGGGAACACACTGCCTTTTACTGGAAAACCCCATACACTGCTTGCTTTACTACAGATTAAGTGATATAAAAGGTGGTATATAATAAAGATCCAGTCGGCAGAATATAATCAATCTTTCACCTGTAAAAGGGTTAGCCTTTCAGAACCTTTGCTTATAAATTTCCATTTGAATGACAGGTGGGTTTAACTACCTTAACAGTTGTGAAGTAGACTTCTCCACAGTGCTGATAAGCCACAAGGGTCTGTTCTTCTTGGTTCTGGGCTAGCCGGACAAACATCATCCAGTTTCCACAGTCTTCATTGGGAGTGTCCAGAAAGTACTTCCCTCCATCTTTCAATACCTGAAACAAAAGGGGAGGACAGGAGAAAGAACATGATAAAACCAAGTCCTGTGTAGAAGCAATTAGTTTTCTTTAACTTGGAACCACGGCTATCAGTTATTTACCCTGTCTTGCTCATATGTCCTTTGAAATCATGGTTGTTTTGAAATAGATCACTCTTAAAGAATACTGAGTGCAAAAGAAAGTGAAGAACGAATACCCTGAGCACCCAGATACTAAAATAACTGTAAGCCTTTGTATGTATTTCCAGTTTATATTTCATCATTCTTATGTTATATAAAGATAATATTATAAGAACTAAGTGCAGGCAGGTAGAAGATAAGCTTTATGCCTTAATGTACTTCCTGAGTACTTGATAATCTCAAACTTTAGTGCTGTATTAATGCTACATTTTGCATGCAACAATTGTATAACTTGTGTAGTAAGTCCAGAGAAGTAACATACAATATAATGGCATTTTAACAACCTTCTCTTTTTCCTCTTAACAATGCAAAAGTAAATACAAATGAGCAATTGTGCCAGAAAGATCTCTTTCTTTTTTTGCTTTACTTCATTCTTCCTAGATTCCTTTCCAAGAGAATGCTTCTACGAGGCAAACACTCCCAACCTCGGACAAGACAGTTGCTTTTCTGCAATATAGTCTCGAACATGGACAGCTGAAGCTGCACAACAGATGTCAGCACAGCATGTATCTGTTCTACTAACCATGTAACTGAGCACTTAATGACAAAAAAAGTTGCATTTCCATTGCTTCTGGGAACTATTTTACCTAACTTCATCATGTTTCAGATGAAAACACCTGCCTGTTGGACAAGTTTGGTCACATACTCAGAATGCTGCTAGGGAGAAGTCAAGGCAGCTACTGCTGTCATATAGGAAGCCTGGGACTCTAGTCTTCTCTTCTGAAGAAACAGTCTATTCATCAGCCAGAGCTATGCTTATCACTGTATACTTTTAAGCAAATGGGGCTGGCTGATAGAGGATAGGGTGTGGTTTACAATGGCTTGGTGAAGAGGAAGGAACTGGGTGCTTAGCTCATCCATGCTCACAAGCCTGTTAGAGAAGTATGTTTTCTGCATTTGTAAGAATTAAAGTGTCTCATAAAAAGATGGAAAAAATTCAGTCATGAAGAAGAACAAATCCTCTCTGGTGTCAACATGCCATGAAAATCCCACAGAAGGACAGTGTTACTTTTCTGGCAGACCATTCACATGACTTTCATGAGTAAATGAAGTTTACAGCAATTACTGAAGCTATTACTTTTGCTCTCAAATGAAATTACAGAAGTATCTGTATCCATGCCTTCCTCCACAATAGACAGTGTTTTCCAGTCACAAGCTTCTGGAGAAAGCTCAAATGAAGACATACAGCATGTCACAGGACAGCTGCGGCTGGTCCCTCTCTCCTGAGTGAGAGGGCCTGATATGAAATGCAGGCTCTGGAAGGACTGTGACCTGTTGGGAAGCCCTGACAGAGGCTGTGGCTTGATCACAGATGAGAGAGAGGTGTGCCCAGGCATGACCCCATGCAGCAAAATGCAAAGACCAGGATGCAGAGGATTACGATCAACTATCACTCTCAAGGAATTCCTGTGGGAAAGGATGTGCACGCAGATATGTCTAGGCTAGGCTAGTCCTCAGAAGCCATTATTTGTGCTGGATAAAATACAAACAATAGTGTCACGGTCCAGATGAGACGATCAGTATCTGCACATGCAGCAAGGGACGGTACCAGCCCTAAATAACAATCTGACTAAATAAACTGAGTTACTGTACTGTGTGTCAATGTTTATACATAATCACATCATTAAAAAGTGTTTCCCCATCCCTGCACTGTTCCTCCCTACTAAGCAGATGCCTTAGTGCGTATTTCTGCTACTATTGCTAACTCAGTGCACAGTCTTAACCCTCCCAGTGACGGTGTTAAGCACAAATCTTGTTGTTTTATCTGGGAAAACAGTACTATCCTTGGATACTTTCAGTAGATGTGCTCTGAAAAGTTTATCGAGGGCTGTTAGACTGATAGGTAAATCACCCTGGAAGCAGTAAAAGTAGAAAGCAGGAAAGTAAACTTCTAGAAAACACAATATACAGGAACGTTTTGGTACTTCAGATTATATGCTGTGCTGTCTAATAACATGATTTACATTCATACATACAGATCAGAAGTACAACTAATTGACTAGATCAGACAGCAAATCAACTGGTTAAAATACATAAATACACATGAACTGTTAATGACACACACGCACTTCATAGTAAGTCACTGGGTTTTTACCTGCAGGACTAGCCTGCTCTCATCATAGCAGGTCAGTTTTGTAGACAGTTGACCAACATAAGGACCAAACTGTGTTCTCTTCTGTATTACTTTCTTTGCAAATACTCCAAGGACTGTGAATAAAAAAAGACCAGTCTAATATTAATACAGGCATCACAAACTATTTCTTGTACATTTACAGTTGTGAAAATGAAGACAAACACAATAGTACAGAACACATGAATTATTCTTCTAGACAAATAACCCAGGTAACTAATTCTAACCAGAAGAATCTAAAAAGGATGTAAATATGTACAGAGATTTTTAAAAAAATGAGTATTACATTGAATACAAAAGTGCCTAAAATCCATGACAGGATGTTACACTGAGTATGCAATACAAATGTGTTCATACTCTTCAATCCACAAGCTGATGTTACGATAGTGCTCTGCCTGTTGGCATACTTTACGGGGTTGTTCTCTCCCAATATGAGTGGAGAATCTATAAAAACACAACATTAGCCTTCTTAATCATTCTAGATATTCCCCTGCCTAATACCAATGGTGCGACACACAAGGCATCTTGTCATTCTCTTTCTGAAATGCAGTCTAGGCAGGACTAATTTTACACAGGTTCCCTTGTTCAAGATTGGGCGTTCAAATTGCCTTGCCCTCAGAAGGAAACAACAGTCTTTCTATAATATGAACTGAAGATGCTGCAAAAGGTGTATTAACCCCCTGTACTCTTTTAAGTTTGCCAGGGGTGATTTAGCATTTTGTTTCTGACCTCTTGCTGAATACTCTTTCCTGTTTTGCATTCTTGGGGAAAAGAAAAAAAAAAGTAATAGTCCATGGCTGTTACTGTTAGATACAAATTCAACATTCATTAAACTTGTATTGACTGAACAGAGCTAACTGATTGCTCACAGCTAAATGTCACACCAGCTCTGGCTAATGTCCTGCCACCAGTTTATGCATCGAAGTTACTAGAAATCAGTCGCAAAAAACCAGTAGCTGAATGTGAGCTTTAGCTGTGCTCAGCTTAAAGTAAAGCAGTCTTCATACTGTTAATACCCAAAGATTATGCCTTGAGTTATTCATGAAAACAAGCCAGTATTAGTACTTTTCCCTCCTCTTTCTCAAATGTGGGAAAAAGAGCTAAAATACTTACTCTGCTGGTTTCCAGCTCGCAGCTCCAACACTCGCAAAGTGAGGTAATGAGGTAGGGTGAGACGGGCTCGGCTAGGAATAACCCTATCTTTAGCCCTGATGAGTGGTCCGTGGAGTTTGCATTCTCCTATAAGGCTTTTACCGCAATCCTCACACCCTACAAATCCAGAAAAGGGAACCTGTTACTAAAAATGACATACTGCTCTCCAATTTAGTCTCTTCTAATTTTGTCACCTTGAGAACACGTCTTGAATTACCAATGCTTTTCTTCACAACACTGTTCTACATTAGGTAGTGAAAAGATTATCTATAAGCCAAAACTGAACTAGGAAGGTTTGAAATAACACTTCCAGTTTGTGCATTCTCTCCTGTGCAAATTAGTGGGTCTTGAACTCCAAAGGATTGATACGCATGTTCATTTGGAGTGTCGCAAACCATGCCTTTGAAGACTAGGATGGCATCAAAACCAGAGCTCACAGCACGCACACCTATAAATCAAGGTGCACACATTTAGATAGAAATGAGAAGGGCAAAGTTGCTAGTAATAACCAAGGTAGTTTGCAGAGATCCAAGGAGTCCAAGAAAGATCAGTGTGACTTTGTGAGCATGCACAGACCATCGTCAGTAGAACAGACCGTTGGTATACCATTAAAAATGAGTACACCTGGTCTTACAGTCACAACTCAGTTGACAATCATGCAAGGGCAGCCTTCTCATAGACTGTGGAAGCAAGCAAGAGGGGTAAAGGGTACGCTGTATCTCCCAGTCATCAGTTCACAATAACAACATCTGCAGGCCAAACACACAAACCATCCACAGAAGTCATTAATGAGAAATACGTGTCTGCAAACTGACTTTCCCCCAGCACAGTGAGATATTTTTGGTTCAGTGTAGCTCAAACTGGTTGCCAGGGAAACTCATACGGAGCAGGGACACAACTGAGCAATGAGACTCTCCAGCAGAAGGTCAGCCTGGCACTGGTGTCACACAGGGCGATGGGAAAAAGGGGACTTCTTGCACAAAACCTTTTTATAGACAGTAGAAACCAAACCAGTGAGCCAACAACGCTTTACGACTGAGTTAAAAGGAAAAGCTGATATTGGTCATCCATGACTACCTCGTTTTGTTTTACTTCTGAAAACTCTGCTGAGCAAGTCTATTCAGTAAGCAACAATAAGGAGCAGAGGAGGGGAGCCAGAACAGCCGAGAGAGTACAAGGGAGCCACAGGATGCTGTAGCAGAGACTGGGGCAGGAGAGGTGAGCCTTCACCACAGACAGGGGCTTGTAGCCAAAGAGAGGTCAAGAGAAGTGTAAAGGCTCAGGAGACACCGCCTGGAGAGACATCGGAGATGGTCTTTGAGAAAGGACAGTAGCACCATAAATGCCATATTCAGGGCAGCTCGAAAAGGTTTCAGTTTGTAAACACAAGTAGGCACTTGACTAAATTACATGCCTCAAGTGTCTAGTCCAAAACGTCCCCAAACAAGACTGAAGTGTTCCTACTGAGTCCTTTGGGCTCTCCATCAACTCTAAATGCAGAGGTAGACTTGCATGTTGGTCAGGCTGCAGGCACTACAGCAGTCCATATTTTTCAATAATTTGGGGACCATGTAAGACTTTTCTTTTGCCATTGCTCCCAGACTGCACACCTGCACTATGAACAGCTGAAATACATTATTTTTTTCGCTAGTGCTACTGATAAAGAACATGCCATTCTACAGCCATCATTTAAAATGCACAAAAGTTAAATAATACAGCTGCAAGGCAGATTTTTCTTGTTACACACCGGTTTATGTACCTGAAAGTCCTTTAGAACTAGGCTGCAAGAAAAAAAGTATTTTCTTGGTGATTTAACTTAACTGGCTTTTAAATAAATTCACAACAATCTACATCTTCTGAGGGCAACAAAATTATGAGGGCTTCCTGAGCTTACCTAGAATAATAGCGACTTTGTCTCAAGTCAAACAGCTCCTGCTTGGAGAGTTGTTGTATGCAAACTGCCGAAAAACATTACCAAAAGCAAAACGGAGACAAAGAACCGCTGTTAAAGGGAGGATGTATCTAATCATAAAGTACACGACCTTATCAATCCATGCCATGCCTCTGTGATTCATCACTACCGAGCTCCTGAGCAAACCTTCCAGCCGCCCTGGGGCCGTACCCACCACGCGGGCCCCAGGGTGGGCAGCTCACGGGAAGACTGGAAAGGGAAAGCAGGGAAAAGGGTCCCCCTTGAACCGTCCTTCAAATTTGGCACCACTGCCCCATTAGCTGACCGCCCCCTTAGTCCTCCAGATCGAAGACGTACGGTCTGAAACAATTCACGCAGTGTGGGTGCTGGGGAGGCATTCCTCCAAAATCATGGACTGCTTTGCATCCGAACGGGTGCTGAGCATGCCACCAAGCTTAGCAGCCCCAGAGACGGCTCCCCAGGCGGCACGCCTGTCATGTCGAAGCTGTCAGCTAGCACTGAATGGAATTAGCTGCAGAACTGGATGGTTTTTTAAGCACATTGCTAGTATGGCTTGGGATTCCAACCTGGCACCGTTGCACAGCACCTTGAAATATCCAGAGCTCCAAGGCTTCTAGGATTTTCTATGTTTCAATACATGGGATATGAAGATAAATAGATGACATAGTTACTTTACAGGCATCCCAAATTACTCGACACAGTATTTCTGACCCCACACCAGCACATCAATACCCTGACTCTGAATTTATTACACACTAAAAACTGCCAGGTGTACCAGAAGCACAGGACTGGACCACTGTAAATGTAATTACTTTAGGGACTACCCTGGGGAACGGGGGGTCTTCGCAGTTTCTTCCCCCCAAACTAACAGTGCAAAACTGTCAAGTTCACATTCTTCCTCAGAGATAATTACAGACCACTGTCACGATCCTTTGTATTTCAATGCTAAATTACAGATGCCGTTAGCAAAGGAATGTATGCATTATCATAGCTGCAGCACGGCACTGGTTTGCAAAGCTCACACAGATTTTATGCTCCCTTTTAACTGGGCTGCTCTAAGTAAAATGTATAATTCTTTTAACAACTGCCTCAGAACACTCTCTAACCTGTTCTGAAATACATAGTATCCAGCTATGGAAACAACATACACTTTGTAGTATTAGCACTAGGAATGAAACACACTTGGTTAGAAAAATCACTTTCTGTGTAGAAGATTTTTTCTGCTTTTTGTTAGGCACTTTAGTACCTCACTCCATGCTTTTACAGTTTCCCTGCTCCCTTAAATTGTATTTACACAAACAAAATTAATGGATTCAATGTTGTGTTTACAGGAATACTTGATAATGCGCAAGCATGCATGAAAAAGTAAAACTGCCTCCGCTCCTCTGCTTAGCTGTGATTTAGATGAGTAGGCAACAAAAAGAAATAAATGAGATTCACAGGAGCTACAAGCTGTTAAAAACCAGATTGTATTATTTACTATATCTTTAGAGCAGCGGTGCTATATTGTCCCCTAGAGGGTATTTCTTCGTTCTTTCTCTATGTCTTTGCAACGATGCTGAAAAAGTTCCAAATAATGCCTTTTTTATCTACCTGTAGATAAAACTACAAAAGCTAATAGATCCTGGAGCTGGTAAGATTTTTATTTCACTGAACTCCACTACAGCAGTAGGGAGACACATGTATAGAGGAGCCCAGCATGGGCACTGGTGCAGACTCCGGCCAGGTTGTGGGTGTGCAGCCACCACCTTATCACACAGTTGAGATGCTCGTGCCCTGCAAACTGCTGCTGGACAGGCTAAGAGAAGGGTGCATCTTCTGTACACCCCCACCCTGGCACCTCTGCGCCTGAATGCATCTGCTCCCACTTCTGCCCAGCTGTTGGGAGGCACGGTTGGCAGCCATGGCTTTCCCCTGCTCTTTGGGTCACCTCAAAAAAGACACACACTGCCTGCAGGATGCACTGCCACCACACAGGCTGACCGAAACATCGGCAGCCACGCTCCCAGGGAGGAGAATGGGCTGTGAGTGTGGCTCACCTGTACCATCCTTGCCATGCTGGCGCTTACCCCCAGTCCAGGTCTAGGTCTAGGTGACAGCTCTCCTTTGCTGCAGACTACAGCCTGGAAGCCTCGGTGGCCAGCTTGCCTCGTCCTCCAGACGTCTCTAGGGCCAGCCACGCTGCACGGGGACAAGCTCCCGCGGCCAGCAGTAGCCAAGCTGGCATGGCAGCTCGGGCAAGCTGGACTCGCGCACAGCTAACAAGTGCGGGTTTCCAAAACAGCAGCACCGTTGGAACGCTGTGCCACCCCCACAGGCACAAGCCCAGCCTCGGGGAGAGCTCATTAGCGTGGGCAAGGAGCCACAAGCTGCGGTTACACAAAGTCCGGCTGCAGAGATAACAGGAGCTATACATAGCCATACTAGGAACTGCAATCACTGTCGTGACAGCTCGAACATACCACCAGCTCCTTAACCAATCAGCGGCAGAACACCACTTCTTAAAAACAGTTTGCTAAAAACTAGATGCCTATCAGGCAGTCCTTCCCGCGTTTTCTCCAACCTCTACTTTCAAGAGAGACTTTACGGTACCTGAACGCTTCAGTGGCCCACAAGATGCCTGCGGTAGGATTTACACGCCCTGTGAAGGCAGAGGCAAATCACTCCTTTTAAACTGTTCCCTTCAAGCAAAGACACCCCGCGAGAAACGATCGTCAGCTGAGCAGCGCTCGACATTCGCTGTGCCGTTCTGCAGCATTAGAATTAGCTCCCATGCACAGAGGGAACAAAGATCAGTGTACACAGCAGTCCAAATCCTAGCCTAATTACAATCATAAGATTTGCATAGCAAACAACAGTAATTTATCCCAGAGTAAAACTGTACTGCTCCATTAGCCTTGTCCAGCTTTCATGTAGAGGAATGCTGCAAAAATACCTTGTGGACACTTTCTCTTTAAGACACATCGCATGTGCAGTATGCCAGTCTTGGCTCTTCTTACACAAAGGTACATGAGGTTTTCCTGCCCTGTGGTTTGTTCTGCAGCACTCCTTGCTGGAAAAGCTTGAAAACCTTGTTCTACAATGTAATTTATTTGGCAAAAAATTCAAAGTACTCAATTAGCAAACCGTTAATCCCAAGTTATTTTCCCATTACTGTGGGCGACTGCCACACACTTCCTCTGTA